TTACAATCATATTAATGCTCACACTTTACTGCTAATTTGCAGATGGCATGTCTACAAGGGATGGTTATACAGTCCCTTATCATTGGCCACAATGAAGGGACTTTTGGGAGCTCAAGTCCAAAATATCCGGAGGACATCTCCTTCTCCAGTCTTCCTGGCAAACTTGCCTCAGGCAGTATATTCTGAATGTCATGAATGGACAGCAGTTTGTTATTACTGTGTGTGTTTACTGACAGAGGGGGAAAGAGGCACTCATGGGATTTTCTTCCAAATATTCAACATTACAGTCAGCCCTCCACATCCATTGGGGTTAAAGGACTGAAATGAGAGCTGTTTTCTCTACAAATCTCTAAATTCTCTATTTAATATTTAATAGTGTTCTATTGTCAGGAAACTGACAATAGAGTCACAATGAAGGACCTAGGGATTCCTAGATAAAACGTTTAATGTAATAATAATAATAATAATCTTTATTTACTACCCCGCCACCATCTCCCCAATGGGGACTCGGGGCGGCTTGCATGAGGCCAAGCCCAACAGCATATTACAATAAAGTAAAACCAAAACACAATAACAACACAGTAAAATTTCATACAACATATGAGTACAAAGACGATAAAGCAAAATCATACACAATAAAACAAAATAAAATAACATAACATAACAATGAGTGGGCCGCATGTGCAGGATAAAAACTAAGATACTAAAAATACTAAAATCAGGATGAGATAGGAATGGAGCAGATTGTTTGTGGGGGAGAAACTCGTAAAGGACCGGGGTCATAAAAATAGACCTTCATACAGGTGGGGAATATACTCTGGGGACAAAAACCATTGAGGCGGAGCAACTGTGTATGATAATATGGCTACTCTCCAAAAGCGCATCGGAAAAACCAGGTTTTGAGATGCCTCTTGAAAATTTCTAAGATGGGGTCTTCCTAATCTCACCAAATCTTCATGTAATCCATGAAGAATCAAATGTACAAAAGTCACAAATGTAAATATGGAAGTATTACTGTGCAAGTTGGATTTGGGTGCTTTCTGCTGCTCTAGAGACTAGGGCTGAATCCAGACATGCCTTTATCCCAGGAGAATCAACATTTTAAAAATGAAGATTTTCCTGGGGACCTGTCCACACCCACCCCAGAAAGCGCGCACTTTCTGGGGTGGGTGTCCAGACATTCTCTCAGGACTAGCCTGAGAAAATGTCTGAAGGCCCTCCCCCTCCCCCGAAGACCCCCAACCCGTTAGAAAAGTAATGAAAACTTACCTGGTCTCCATTACAGGCTTCGGCCAGCTCTCCCAGCACGTAGAAATGATGTGCCAGGAAAGCGGGGGGGGGGGCATATTCCTCCCTCCCCCCCCCCTTCCTGGTGTGTCATTTCTCCATGCCGGGACAGCTGGCCGAAACCTGTAATGGAGGCCAGGTAAGTTTTCATTACTTTTCTAAGGGGTCTGGGGGCTTCAGGGGAGTGGGTGGGTATTCCCACAGTTTACCAGTCTTATTTAGCCTGATAAACTGTGAGAATACTGTCTGAACTGCAGTATTCTGCAGTCCAGAACCGGAAATAGTGGGTTTATCTTGCACTTTCCAAGAAGGTACAGAATAAACGCACTATCTAATTAATTCATTACAAACCAGGGTTTTCCTGATTTGTAGCAAATTAATTTGGGACTTTCCAGAATGTTGTCTGGACAGCACCTCCTTTATTGTGGGAGTTACCGCAATAAAGGTACTGTCTGGACGGGCCCTCCAACAAATTGCAGCAATTGATTTCAATTGTAGAGACAGAGGTTTCTCTTGAGCATTAGAAAAAAACCTCCTGACAGTAAGAGCTATTCAACTCGTATGCTGCTTTGGAATGAGGAGGAGTCTCCTTCCCTGGAAGTTTTTAAGCAGAGGTTGGATGGCCATCTGTCAGGGGTGTTTTGATTATGCATTCCTGTATGACAACAGGCTGGACTGAATTGCTTTTGTGGTCTCTTCCAACTCTATGATTCCATGAACTTTTTCTGAACCATAATCAGGAGATTGAAAATTTCCAGGCTAGAGCTAGCACTGGAGTAATCTGAACTGTTGCAAATAATATACAGGAGAGTCTTGTGATACCTTCAAAATTCACAAGCTTCATTCGGCATGTGCTTTTAGCGGAGTGCAGCCCGCTGCATCAGCTGGGGTGAAATAAGAATGAGCCTGGGAAGCTGAAGCCAAATAATGTGTGATATCTCACGGTTGGTGATGCTTTTTTAAAAATTGGATTTTGGGGTAAGGAAGAGGTCCACCACAGAAAACACAGAATTTAATCCCTTACACCAGAGCTTCCCAATCGGTGTGTCACAACGCATTAGTATGTTGGCTGCAGTGTGTAAGACATACAAACACAATGAGAAACCTCAGAGTCCATGTGAAACAAACAATAAATTATAATTTTTAAAGATACAAATGAAAGGTTTTCATGATATATGCTGTGTCCCCATACATTTTGTTTGTTGTGTCTGTATCCCTTATGTCTTATAAGGGATTGGTTGAACTTTCAGTTATGTAGTAAAACTCAATGACTATGTCATAAAATGATGCATATCTTAAAAATGTGTCACCAACATGAAATGTTTGGACATCTCTGCCCCAGACAAACAGAAAGAGCGAGGGAAGAGCTGGCAAAAGTCTTTTGGCCATATAGGCAGTCCCTGAGTTACAAACAAAATAAATTCTCTAGGCATGTTGAATTTGTTTGTAAGTCCTTCTTCTCAATGCAGAAGGGATGCAGTTTGACACCACTGCCGTGTCTCAGGGTCCTTCCAGACAGGCCCTATATCCCAGGATCTGATTCCAGGTTTTCTGTTTATCCCAGATTATCTGGCAGTGCAGACACATACTACTTTTACTTACTTAGGCAATCCCTTATTATCTGAGTAAGATTATCCTCCAAGTTCGGTGTCCTGGCAGTGGGTCTGTAGGTAGGTAACTGTGGAGCCCAATTCTTGATCTTCATGTTCTCCCACAGTGAGCGCATCGGTTTCCAGGTGGAAGGCAATCCCAGTTGGGGTTGGCTTGACGTGCCTTCCTCTTGGCACATTTCTTTCTTCCTCCCTCCATTTGTGCTTCTTCAAATTCCGCAGCACTGCTGGTCACAGCTGACCTCCAGCTGGAGCGCTCAAGGACCAGGGCTTCTCAGTTCTCAGTGTGTATGCCAGAGTTTTTGAGGTTGGCTTTGAGCCCATCTTTAAATCTCTTTTCCTGTCCTCCAACATTTCGTTTTCCGTTCTTGAGTTCGGAGTAGAATAACTGCTTTGGGAGATGGTGGTCGGGCATTTGGACAATGTGGCTGGTCCAGCGGAGTTGATGATGGAAGAGTATAGCTTCAATATTTGAAAGGGTTGAATAAAAAGTAATGCCTCCATCTTCATTAATTGGGTTTGGATGGGAATATTTTAATAAATCAAATGCAGAAATAATCTTTACAATGTGCTCTTCAACTACCACTATTCACTATTCCACACAATCACCAGACAATTGGATAGATTTCTGCCAATCATGAACAAGTTTCCTGAAGCCGTCACGGAAGAAGTCAACACTCTGTTTCTCCAACCAGCGTCTCACAGTTCTCTCATCCTGAGTACTCATCATGCACAGATCTTCCGATAGCCCAGCAAAGCAATAATGTGACCCACACATTCTTGTGAAATGCCAATTATGCTTGAAATTTCTCTCTGAGTGATACAACCATCATCCTGAATCAATCTGTGAACCTTTTGTTTGTGAAACTCAGTGGTTGCTATCACAGGGCATCCAACTCTTTGTTTGTCACGCAAGTCAGATGTTCCCACCTCAACATCTTTAAACTTACTCGTCCAACAACGCATAGTATTCATATCAACACAATCACCATAAACTGCTTGCATTCTCTGATGAATCTCCTTTGGGGTGACACCTTCTGCTGTCAATAATTTAATGACTGCACTTTGCTTAAATCGCATTGACCATCATAGAATCATAGAATCAAAGAGTTGGAAGAGACCTCATGGGCCATCCAGTCCAACCCCTGCCAAGAAGCAGGAATATTGCATTCAAATCACCCCTGACAGATGGCCATCCAGCCTCTGTTTAAAAGCTTCCAAAGAAGGAGCCTCCACCACACTCCGGGCAGAGAGTTCCACTGCTGAATGGCTCTCACAGTCAGGAAGTTCTTCTCATGTTCAGATGGAATCTCCTTTCTTGTAGTTTGAAGCCATTGTTTCCGCGTCCTAGTCTCCAAGGAAGCAGAAAACAAGCTTGCTCCCTCCTCCCTGTGGCTTCCTCTCACATATTTATACATGGCTATCATATCTCTTCTCAGCCTTCTCTTCTTCAGGCTAAACATGCCCAGCTCCTTAAGCCGCTCCTCATAGGGCTTGTTCTCCAGACCCTTGATCATTTTAGTCGCCCTCCTCTGGACACATTCCAGCTTGTCAATATCTCTCTTGAATTGTGGTGCCCAGAATTGGACACAATATTCCAGGTGTGGTCTAACCAAAGCAGAATAGAGGGGTAGCATGACTTCCCTAGATCTAGACACTATGCTCCTATTGATGCAGGCCAAAATCCCATTGGCTTCTTTTGCTGCCACATCACATTGTTGGCTCATGTTTAATTTGTTGTCCACGAGGACTCCAAGATCTTTTTCACACGTAGTGCTCTCGAGCGAGGCGTCTACGCAGGGTTCCATACTTTGCACTTTAATAACACAACCATTCAATGCTAAGGCTTCCCGCCAAAATGGAACTGTAGAGGAGAGTCTACTGAACAAGCCAGTACCTGCCACATACCAGTACTGCCATCTGTTGAGGCGTGACGGAGGTGGAGGCATTACTTTTCATTCAATAATCTAGGTGAAAGCAGAAAAACTGGGATGGGATCCTGGGATAGAGGGCCTGCCTGGAAGGGGCCTGGTTGTGAGATGCAGTTTGAGAAGCGCCTCCTAGGAAGCCCTGGTCCTGAGCCAGGGCAGTGGCAAGGCAGAGTGGTGCATCCATCCTCCGGTGTAGTGGAGGCATTGCTTCCAGCAGAGGAAGGGTGAGGCGGGGAAGCCAGCGAGCCAGGGCCGTGACGTCACGAAACTTTGCCTCGGCGGCTGAGAAAGGAGGGAGGCAGGGAAGGAAGGAAGGAAGGAGAAGGCGGCTGCTGCTGCTGGTGCTGCTGCTGCTGCTGCGTGTGCGTCTCGCTTTGTGGCCAAACTGGAGGCGCTGGAGGCGGCACTTGGGCTCCTTTCTCCCCTCCCGAGGTAAGCCCGTCGCTCTCGGGCTCTCCCGGCTGCTCGGCTTTGTTTCTCGGTCGCCTTTCTGGCAAGGGAGGGAACTCGGAGAAGTCTCCGGAACTCTTGCGCGGAGTTGTCTCAGAAAGAGGAGGAGGCGCCGGGGGGGGGGGGGGGGGGAGGGCGGTTGTTGCTGTTGTTGAGTTGTTGTTTCCGTTAGGGATCTCTGCGAGTTGGTAAAGCTAAAGCCTGTTGAGCAGCAGGGATGCTGCGACGTGAGAGGAGGAGGAGGAGGAGGAAAGGGAGCTCCTCAGCCAACACTTTTGGCACCACTGGAACTGCTATGGCTCAGTGCTACTCAGTCAGAGAAGTTGGGCCCCTTCCACACTGCCCCAACAAATCCAGATTCTCTGCTTTGAACTGGATTATATGGCAGTGTAGACTCATATAATCCAGTTCAAACCAGAGCATGTGGGATTTTATACAGCTGCGTGGAATGGGCCTGAGGCTCCATCTACACTACTATATAAAATCTGGATTATCTGCTTTGAACTGGATTATATGGAAGTGTAGACTCATACCATCCAGTTCACAGCAGAGCATGTGGGACTTTATATAGCTGGGTGGAATGGGCCTGAGGCTCCATCTATACTACTAAATAAAATCCGGATTATCTGTTTTGAACCGGATTATATGGCAATGTAGACTCATATAATCCAGTTCAATGCAGATGATGTGGGATTTTATACAGCTGAGAAGAATGGGCCCGAGGCGCTATCCACACTACTATATAAAATCCAGGTTATCTGCCTTGAACTGGATTATATGGCAGTGTAGACTCATAATTCACTTCAAAACAGATAATGTGGGATTTTATTCAGCTGAGTGGAATGGGCCCGAGGCGCCAACACTACTATATAAAATCCAGATTATTTGCTTTGAACTGGATTATATGGCAGTGTAGACTCATATAATCCACTTCAAAGCAAAGTATGTGGGATTTTATTCAGATGGATGGAATGGGCCCGAGGTGCCATCTACACTACTATATAAAATCCAGATTTTCTGCTTTGAACTGGATTATATGGCAGTGTAGACTCATATAATTCAGTTCAAATATATTAAAAGGGTGTTACAAAAATGTCACAAGGATGTTTATATTCTGGATTACATGGCTGTGTGGAAGGGTCCTCCCTCAGGCCCTTTCTACACTGCCATATAATCCAGATTATCCAAGCAGGTAATCCACAATAAATCCTTTGAATTGGATTATCAGAGTCTACACTGCCATATAATCAAGTTCAATGTGGATTTTCTATAGCTGTGTGAAAAGGGCTGGATCCACCTAAAATTGGACTTTTTCACACCACAGCTTTTTCCCCAGTTGGGCAGGAACCCTAATAATAATAATAATAATAATTCTATAGATCTACATTTTAATAATAATAATAATAATAATAATGCTTTATATCCCACCCCCGCCCCCTCTCCAAAGGGACTCTGGGTAGTTAAAAGACTGTTAGGCCCCCTCTAAGGTTAGGTAAACATTTTCCCCTGACATTAAGTCCATTCATGTCCAACTCTGGGGGTTGGTACTAATCTCCATTTCTATGCGGAAGAGCCGGCGTTGCCCATAGACACCTCCTAGGTCATGTGGCCAGCATGACTGCATGGAGCACCATTATCTTCCTGCCGGAGCGGTATCTATTGATCTACTCACATTTGCATGTTTTCGAACTGCTAGGTTGGCAGAAGCTGGGGCCGACAGTGGGAGCTCATGCTGCTCCCTGAATTAGAACCTGCAACCATTGGGTCAACAAGTTTAACAAGGCCCCTTATAATCTACACTGCCATATAATCCAGATGATCAAATCAGATAATCCATATTATCTCTTTTGAAGTGGATTATATGAGTCTACACTGCCATATAATCCAGTTCAAAGCAGATCTGGATTGAATGTGGCAGCAGCCCCTTCCACATAGCTGAATAAAATCCCACATTTTTCTGCTTTTGAACTGGGATATATGGCAGTGTGGACTCAGATAACCCAGTTCAAAGCAGATATTGTGGGATTTTCAGCCTTGATATTCTGGGTTATATGGCTGTGTAGAAGAATTTATAATTCATCTAATACTCTTTTCAATCAAAAGGAGGAACCCCAAACATAAAGTAGATTTAGGGCCCTTCCACATGGCCATAAAGGTTTTCCCCTGACATTAAGTCCAGTCATCTCCATTACTAAGCCAAAGAGCCAGCGTTGTTCATAGACACCTCCAAGGTCATGTGGCCAGCATTGCATTTTTAAAAGGCAGTAAAGATAAAGGTTTCCCCTTTATGTTAAGTCCAGTCATGTCCAACTCTGGGGGTTGGTGCTCATCTCAGTTTCTAAGCCAAAGAGCCAGTGTTGCCCGTAGACACCTCCAAGGTCATGACTGCATGGAGCGCTCTTACCACACAGCCAAATAACCCAGAATTTCAAGGTAGTTAATCCACAGTATCTCCCTCATTTGGGGAGTGTATCATGGAACATGCATGTTTCATGATTTAAGAACCTCACTGGATTTGGAAACTTTTGGGGAAACAAGGGCAAACTTGGAAGGCAAAAGAGCAGGAGCAGCTAGAGATGGGGAAGACAGGGCCCTTGGCTTCCCGATCTGTGCTTCTTCTGCTGCTATTCTTTCTCCTTCTCCTCCTCCTCTTCCTTTTCTTCTTCTTCTTCTTCTCTTCCTCTTCTTTCTTCTCTTCTCCTTCTCCTCTTCATTCTTCTCCTTCTTATTCCCTTCCTTCTTCTCTTATCCTTCTTCTCTGTCCTCACCAAGGTTGCGGACCCTCTTTGGTGCAGTCCAAGGGGTCTTTCTTACTGGGGAGACCCTCCTAAAGTCCGTATTTTCACTCCTCTTCCTTCTTCTTCTCCTCCTCCTCCTCTTTTCTCCTCCTCCTCCTTTTCCTCCTCTTCCTTCTTCTATTTCTCCTTCGTCTCCTCTTCCTTCTTCTCCTTCTCCTCCTCCTCCTCTTTCTTCTTCTCCTTCTCTTCCTCTTCCTTCTTCTCCTCCTCCTCTTCCTCCTTCTCCTTATCCTCTCCCTTCTTCTCCTCCTCCTTCCTCCTCTCCTTCTTCTTCTTCTACTCTTCTCCGCCTCCTTTTCTTCCTCTTCCTTCTCCCCTCCTTCTCTTCCTCTTCCTCTTCTCTCCTTCTTTTTCTCCTTCTTCTTCCTTTCTCCTCCTCCCCTTCTTCCTTCTCTTCTTCTCTTCTTCTCCCCTCCTGCTTCTCCTCTTCTTCTTCTCCTGCTTCTCTTCCTCTTCTTCATCCTCCTCCTCTTTTCTCTCTTCTCCCTTCTCCTCCTTTTCTCTTCCCTTCTTCTCTTTTTCCCTCCTCCTCCTCTTCCTTCTTCCTTCCTTCTCTCTTCTCCTCCTCCTTTTCTTCTCTCCTCTTCTCCTCCTCCTCCTCCTCCTCCTCCTCCTCCTTCTTCTTCTTCCCCTCTTCCTTCTTCTTCTCCTTTTTCTTCTTCTCCTTTTTCTTCTTCTCCTTCTTCTCCTCTTCCTTCTTCTTCTCCTCCTCCTCTTCCTTCTTCTCCTTCCTCTCCTCTTCCTCCTCCTCCTCTTCTTCTTTTGTTGCCGGAGTGTGACTTTGCGGCAGGCGGCTCTTGGGTGGCGAGGAGGGCACACCCCTCGCCTGGCGCATCCCAGGGCGCGTCTACACATTGTCGGAGGAATGCAGTCTGGCACCGCTTGAACTGCCACGGCTCGGGCTTTGGCGTTCCGCCCCCCCCCCCTTCCCCCTCTTTCCCCTCTTTCCCGCTGCCAGCCGCTTGAGCCGAGGCAACCCTCCGAAAGCAAGCAAGTGGGACTCCTTTCTGTCTTTCTGTCTGTCTTCCTTCCTTTCTTCCCCAGGAAGGATCCGCCCCGCTCTGGTGTGAAAGAGCCGGGGCCTTGGAGTTGGTGTGTGGCGCCCGGGCGAGGCGCTTTGAAGCTCTGTCGGCCTCTTGTTTGGATTTGCTTTTCCCGTCTCGCTTGCTAAACCCGCCGCAGCTTTGGGGGCTTTTTGACTCGGGCAGGTTTGGAGGGAGGGAGATGGGAAGCATTCTCCAAGGGGAGCAATCAGTGACTTTTTTCTTCCTTTTGGGTAATCAGTGGCTTCCTCAGCCAGTCAACTGCCGTCTCTAAGTGCACCTGCAACGTAGAGGATTAACACACCCTGTCACCACTTTCAGTCACAAGCCTTACCTGCCAAGGAGTGCCAGTTCCTCACCAAACTGAAACTACAATTCCCAAGAGATCCTCTTTTGTAAAGATCTAAAAACATGGATGTCCCACTGTGCTTTTGATTTGTCAGTTCCCCTGATAATTTTGCCCCCAGCTATGACCCAACATCTAGTTCTTGCACTTTACTACTGTTCCCTACTCAGAGATATAATGCTCTATTTCAGTGTTTCTCAATCTGGGGATCAGGACTCCTGGGGAGGGGGGGGGGGTCACAAGTGGGGTTAGAAGGGTTGCCAAAGACCACCAGAAAACACAATATTTTTCTGTTGGTCATGGGAGTTCTGTATGGGAAGTTTGGACCAATTCAGTGGGGTTCAGAATGTTCTTTGATTGTAGGCAAACTATAAATCCCAGCGACTACAACTCCCAAATGGCAAAGTCTCTTTCCCCCAAACTCCACCAGTGTTTACATTTGGGAATATTGTGTATCTGTGCCAAGTTTGGTCAAGATCCATCATTGTTTGAGTACACAGTGCTCTCTGGATGTAGGGGAACTACAACTCCCAAACTCAAGGTCAATGCCCACCAAACCCTTCCAGTATTTTCTGTTGGTCATGGGAGTTCTGAGTGCCAAATTTGGTTCAATTCCATTGTTGGTGGATTTCAGAATGCTCATTGATGGTAGGTGAATTACAAATCCAAGCTGCAATAACTCCCAAATGACAAAATCAACCCCCCCCCCCCAACCCCATCAGTGTTCAAATGTGGGCACATCGGGTATTTGTGCCAAATTTGGTCCAGTGAGTTGAAAATACATCCTGCATATCA